CCTTCCGAGGAGTGGCTGGTGGGTTTGAACCGCCAGCCTTCTGGTTAGCAGTCAAGTGCTTTAGCCACTATGCTACCAAAGGCAGGAATACTCCACCCCCAAATAAAGTGAGGTGGTGAAATGACAGAATTTGTATAGTGTCAATAAATGGCGTTCTGGGGGAATGACCTATGGGTCCTGTAAGTGTACACCATGTGATTGAAAGCAAGAGCATTGGGTTTGTGCGCTCAAACACAGAAGCAGTGCGAGGGCTACATAACGAAAGCTTTAAGCGGTGTCGTCCATACGAACTGGGTGTGTGATGTTCGCTTCTCCGTTTTACACGTCTTTAAACGCCATGTCTGCTATGTCCATCCAGACGGCGCATATGTGGCATGTGTCTAAGAACGCAGGCAAGTTGTATGTGACTGTGCTATGCCCCGGGACAGTCCTTGCGGACAAGACGTGGGGTCTGGGTACCAATTCAGAGACCACAAGCGCCCTCCCGGAGGCTGGGAGCAGCGACGTCGGCAGGCACCCGCGCCAGCGCTAGGACGGCCTCGCTCCGAGTGTCGGAGCCTGGGTCGCCCCTCCTCCCCTCTGGCGACGCGGCACATAGCCACCCCTTCTGCCCACCCCGGCTGGGCCTCGGCTGCACTCACCCCTCTCCAGCCGCACAGGTTCCCCTAGCGCCGCCATCTTCTCCCTTTGCCCGCAGACCCACAGGAAATGACGACAGAGAGGCCTCGGTGTTGGGCGGGGCCTAACCCGGAGGGCGAGGGCCGGCTAGGATCGCGAGAGCAGGAGGTGAAGCTTAAGGTACCCGGCCGCCGGGCTTCTCGGGTATGTTTTCTGAGTGTGTGTTATCCGTCTTGAGGTTCTGTAGTTTCCCGGCCTTCCAAGATCTACCAAAGCCTCTTTCCTGACACTTACTCTTTGCTTCGTGGTTCAAGCTTTATCGTACCCTCTTGAAACTCTTGGCTCTACACGGAAGAGTCGGGGAATCTGGACTTACAGTTCTTGCGTGGCCATTAGCAGTTTTGTGACTGCTAACAGCTCATCCGGGAGCTCTGGTAGCATAGTGGCTAAAGCACTTTACTGCTAACCAGAAGGCTGGCGGTTCAAACCCACCAGCTACTCCTTGGAAGGAAGGTTGGGCAATCCTACTTCCGTAGTGATACTGCCTCGGAAACCCAAGGAGGGGTCGCTATGAGTCAGGGCTGACTCGATGGCACATAACAACAACAACAACAACAACAGCTCATCCAGGAGCTCTGGTGGCCTAGTGCCTAAGGCGTTTGACTTTTAACCGGAAGGCTGGCGGTTCAAACCCACCAGCCACTCCTTGGAAGGAAGGTTGGGCAATCTACTTCCGTAGTGATACTGCCTCGGAAACCCAAGGAGGGGTCACGATGAATCGGAAACGACTCCACGACAGTGCGTTAACGGCTCATCCGCTCTCGGCCTCAATTTCCCACAGCCCCATCAGTGCGACGTGGGGCGCTATCTCTGAGCTCCCTTCCTTTCTTACTTTCTGGGATTAGGTGGCTGTTAAGTGTGTAAATAAGATATTGAAAATAAACTGCAGATGCATAGCAAATTCTCTGTGGCAGCAGTTCTTTTAAAAATTCAACGGTTGAATCTTCCCTACAAATCTGAGAATAAGGGTGGAAATAATGCATGCGGTACTAAGACTGTGAAACATAATCTGGGTGAAGCAGAGTAAGGAATTTAAGTACATAAAAGTAGTAATTTTAGAATGCTAATTACTAACATGTTATATAAATGAACTTTTATAATGCCGGTAATATTCTTGATGCATTATAGATTCTTGGGACCACTATGAAAATTTCCTGAATCAAGAAAAAATTGGTTCCTAATTTAAATGAAATACTAATTGCACCAGTGTTCAGATTCCACTGCGGTAGAAAAGAAATGTGGCAGTCAGCTTCCCTAAGGATTTACATCCTTGGAAACCCTATGGACGGTTTTACCCTGCCCCATAGCATCACTATGAGTCGACTGGATGCCAGTGGTTGGGTAGATTCCACGAACATTCATTCAAACCTTAGGCTGTGTTGACACTGAGTTAGGTGCTTTCATGTACAAGTTTTAAACATTTAATGACAAGATTTTTTAAAAAACCTTCTGGTTGCCCTGGGTCCACCCTCTCCGTCCAACTGTTGTATTTTCTTCTCCTAATCTACCATGACCCACCAGCCACTCCTCAGAAGGAAGGTTGGGCAATCTACTTTTGTAGTGATACTACCTGGAAAACCCAAGGAGGGGTCCTATGAGTCGGGTTCGACTCGAAGGCACATAACAACAATCTACCATGAAAGGAGCCCAGGTGGACAGTGCTTATGTGCTCATCTGCTAATGGAAAAGTCTGTGGTTCAGAAGGTCTGCAATTCTGACCAACCAGCTATTCCATGGGAGGAAGATGTGGCAGTCTGCTTCCATAAAGATTAAATAAAAAGCAAACTAAACTCACTGCCATCAAGTTGCCAAGGGTTTCCAAGGCTGTAAACCTATTTACTGAAGCAGACTACTTCATCTCTTTTCCAAAGAGTGGATGGTGGATTTGAACCACTGACCTTTTGGTTGGTAGCCAGATGCCTTAACCACTACATCACTAGAGCACCTTTCCTATCCCGTCTCTATGAGTTGAAATTAACTTGACAATAATGGGAATGGGAATCCATCATGATTGTCACCACTCTACTCTTATCATTGAACACTGATTTTATCATCACAGCTTTCTCTTAAGAAACTTTCAGTGGTTTCTCTCCTATTCTTTATTGCTAAAACCTTGCACACTCTGACCCTAACTCATCCATCTAACCTTATATCTTGTTATCTCCTCCCCACTGAATACCACCATCACACCAGTCAAGGTGGAATATTCAAAATTCCAACTCATAGAGACCTTACAGGGTAGAGTGGAATTGTTCCATATGGTATCCTAGACTGAAATCTTCGGCAGCATGTTGCCAGATCTTTTCTCACATAGAGAGACTGATGGATTCAAACAGTGACCTTTCAGTTAACAGATGAGTCATTGTGTCACCAGGAGTCCTTGATAATGCATAATTAATCTACTTTATACCTTACAATTATAGAAAAAACTACGTATCCTCTTTTTACAGTGCCCTTAGTTCAGAAATCTAAGATAGGGCAATTGTGGCTTTAAACTAGGGTGCCAACGTTTAAATTTTAAAACGATTTTCAAAAATTCTACAAATTTTTATAGCTTCCTTGACCTTTTCCAGCAGCAGTGGGGAGCTCTTCTCTGTGTCCCATCAAGAAACCCCAGTAATCCAAGGAGACAGCAAGGCAAAGGCAAGGAAAGCAATGTGACCACCAGCCAGGCTAAAGAGGACCCCTTTGTGAGCTTAGGACACCTCTCCTGGTGGGGTGGAGACAGTGTGGCACCATACATGGCTAACTAAAGGCTCCCCATCTGTACGGTCTGGGGGTAGACCATCTTCCCTTAGAATATGCTAGGGCATGGCAGACAATGCATCAGGTGTGTTTAATATAATATATTATGTATACATTTGGGAAACAACATGTTTCAAATTCTGCAGGAGTGGCACCTTGATATCAGGGAAACAGCACTGAACTAGCTATCAGGAGCTCTGGTTTCTAATCATGGATGAGCCACCAAGTGGTACTGTGACCTTGAGGATATCACTTTCACTTTCATGCTCTAGATCTGTTTCCTCATCTATCAAGATTGTTGAACAAGATCTGTCTGCATTTGAAAATTACATATATACCAAAAAAAAAAAAAAACAAGCTCACTGCCATCGAGTTGATTTTGACTCATAGTGACCCCCATCGGGTTTCCAAGGCTGTAAATCTTTATGGGAGCAGTCTGCCTCATCTTTCTTCCAGAGCAGCTGGTGGGTTCAAACTACCGAGCTTTTGGTTAGCAGCCAAATGCCTTAACCACTATACCATCAGAGCTCCTTATATATATGTATATACATAATTTAATGCATTAGTTAGCAGTGTTTTGTTCTGTTGCACAAAGGTCACTGTGAGTCAAAACCAACTCAATGGCACCTAAAAACAACAACATTTATTTAAATACAGATTCTCTTGGCCTTCGTGGGCTTAATAAATCATAATTTCTGGGGATAGGCTCTGGGAATATATATTTAATTA